GTTGGTGCTATCTTCACACCATACCTGGGCCAAAAGCCTGACTGAAATAGGTCCAGATAATCTCTTTCTTCCAGGGCCTTCTTCAGTCATCACCCTGACCCAGCCCCCCATTTCTGGAGGCATTCACCTATCAGGAAGAGAGGGGTCCTGTAATGGTATGTGGGAAAGATCTTGGGAGACAGGGCAAAGAGATGCTGCCTAGGGAACAGTCAGATGGCAAGATTGATGTCAGCCTTACCAGGTAGACCAGACAGGAAGTAGGACCAGATAAGCTAATTCTACTTTATTGTAAAGCTACATTAACAGAATCTTGCAAGTCTGCAAGTACGATTCTCCCGCCATCTCCTTTACAGCCCGAGAAACTAGGGAGGGTCCCTCCTGAACCTCTTGCCCCACCCACTGACCAGCTGCAGGCTATGCTGTCTCTTACCTAACTGTTCCCTAGGCAGCATCTCTTCACCCCCATCTCCCAAGGTCTTTCCCACATACCATTACAGGTCCAGACTAAAGTAGCCTAGCCACTGCTACTGAGAACCCTGTGTACTTCCTCAGAACTCCCAGGATAAACCTATTGCAGATCATCCACAAGATAGTCACCTCCTCAGGACTTGCCCAGCTGGTATCCAGCTTGGAGCGGATCAGAGTGATTTAGTCATCCAGATGCCTCCAAAAATCCTCCAAGAGACTAATCGCCCCCCCCCATCCCCCTAGTAAAGCCTGGTTCATTTTAAAAAGGGCTACTGGGGATGCAATAAGAGCCAGAAAATATTTATCTTCTGCCTCTCTGATTACCACAGTGTAGGAGATCCAAGTGCTCAAAGCTGAAGCAAACATTAGCAGTAAACATTTAGAATTTCCCTTAGGAAAATAAGATAATCCTCACAGATGGAGGAGGAGCCTCCAGAGGAACCTCCAAATTAGAAAAACCATGTTGTTTATTCTGAGTCCAAGTTATTTCAGCTATTGCAGTTTTGATTTCTGTGCCATTGGGGATAACTTCTTCTATAGCTATCTCTGCCCATTCATTTCCTGAAGTTCCTGAAATAGTAACTGTAGTATTGCTCCAAGAACAGAGGTCCTACAAAATAGTCATAGGATGTCATATAAAAACGGACCTACCTGTTTTTAGTACAATTCTGCATAACTTTCAGTATGGCCAGGCACACTGGGAAACCATGAATGTCAGATTTTTCTGTTTGTATTCATTCTCTGTGGAATCCTGTACTTAATAGCTTGGAAGTGGCAAGGGGATGGAGTTTCTGAAAACCCCAAAGAAGGAATTAAGGTCTTTGGACTAACATGGACCCTGAATAGTTTGTAATTTAACCTGGATGCAATCTGGATGAAATTCTAGTCTGTCCCTTCACAGTATGGACATTCCTAATGCTATTTCGAAGATCTTGTATTATGAAATTTGGCATGTACCTGCAGTATGACTAACAGGATTTGCATTCTTAATGATACTGTATAAACAAAAACTTTTCATTTAAAATGAAGTTGAACATCGATGTGGTATTTTTGGTTTGATCAGGTTGACATAGTAAATAATGTTGTATCTTCTAAAATAGGCTTTACAGTTTGTAATAGTTGCTTAATGTGATTGAAGGACAGTTGGTTTTGTATTTATTATTAACTGGTAACAGAAGCTCTTGACCTGTCAAAAGGCACAGTTCCCAGGTTCCATGAAAAGGAGATTTTCCTTAACATGTTGACAGCGTAGAAGAGAAAAGAATGTTCCAGTGCTGAAGTTACAAACAAAAAATGTTTATTTAACCAATGCTATTATTTTCTGTACCTAATTAAAACCAAATCATCACTGAATTGTTGGTGACATTTTCATATCCTTCAGCCATGTTTCTGTTGCAGTTAATTTAAAAAACAATCTCAGATTGCCTAAATTTTTATTTCAATTAGACATTTTGGACAAAAATTCAGAAATGGATCATTTTGTGTACCACAATGTTGCTTAAACCAATGTATGTGTGAGGGAGTGAGAGACGGAGGGATAACAAACAATTCCAGTGCATTTTATTTCGGAAGGTTTTTTTTTTTTTCCATAGTTTAAATGTCATTCTTGGCCTCTTAATAAGAAATGTCTATTATAAGCATTGTAACATCTTACAACCAGATGGTAGCTATCTCCTGTGGTTTCATCCTGTCTCCTCAACTCCAAACTTGTGTAGTACTACTATTCAGAAACAAGTTTCTTGCCTTTTGCAAATTATAGAAAACAAAGAAAATGTGAGTATTAGGATGGCAGTGATAATTCTTGTATTTCCTGTTTATAAATCCCTTGTGTTTTCCGTTCCAATTCTCTTGTAATACGTGAATTTCTAAGAATAGCCTTCCGATATAACTTTCCGCTTAGCTGTGCGGCTGTCGATAAATTCATATTCCAGCAAACGTTGCTGCCACCTACTGTTTGCACTTAGAAATTCTTTGGCTCCTTGAATGATATGATCACGTAACAACAATCCAGCAGCACCAGAGGACAACCAGTCGACAAAAACTGGCTTAAGCAATTAAATTGTAAAAGCTGTATTCATATGCATTTGGGGCCCTTTCCCAAATACATTTTAAATCAGTTTGCCCTATTATAATCTATTGCTCTTAATTATTTTCATATATGTACTCATAGACAACATGTGGATATTTTCCACGTGATAAAAGTACTTTGTACTCTGTGTTTTGGTTTGGTTTTTTTGTTTTTTGTTTTTTTTGGAAAGCTGTCCTAAATTCAGAAAAATTCAAATTCCGAAAGACCATTGTCATAAAAGGCACACCAAACTAATTTCTAATCTTGGCTAGATAGGGTTTAGAGCTTACTGTTGATTTAGGCTTGATTCTATCAATCTCAACCCAGGCTGTAATAGCAGCCCTATTTTAATGTTGTTTATAAACACATTTTAAGGCTATTTTTGCATTGAGCAAGTGAAGCTTCTCAGCTAAACATTATTGTGGAGGGGTTTGAACACTCTAATAGTAGGTTTTTTACTTCCCCTTGGTGGAGTTATTATCTGAAATGATTATTGAGAAAATTAATACAACTGAATGGAACAGAATTCATTCTGTTCCTTTTTTTCCACTGTATCACAAAGGAGCAAACAGGCAGCACCCTCCATTCTTGGAAGGTTATTTTTCTGAAAAGATTTAGGATCTTCCCATCTGCGTCAAGTTGGTTCCTGCTTGATAGCACTGTCAAACCCAGCCAAGCTTAAGCTAAATCCTGGCTACTTTAAAAGCCTCTTTCTGACAGCCAGGGCAAGAAATTGCAAAGGTTTTGGAACAGAATTTGCAAAAGGCGATGAAAGATTTGGGGAGAGAAATGACTCTATTTAGTATCCAGGTTCTCAGTACTGTTCAAAAATACAGATTTATGACTTAGGTTCAAATGAGTTTTCTCAAGATGCACATGATAGAGAAAGACCTAACTCAAATCTTTTTATTTTGCAGCTTTTTGTGGGCCTTGGCTTCCCATATGAGGGTCCTGCACCTTTGGAGGCTATTGCAAATGGATGTGCATTTTTGAATCCAAAATTTAATCCACCAAAAAGCAGCAAAAACACAGACTTCTTCAAAGGCAAGCCAACTCTTAGAGAGGTATGTTTTTATTTGTGATTACTGTTGATAGTGAGATGTGTCTTTTGAAACACATCTCTTAAACACAACACTGTACTGAAATACATTATTTTACTGTTCTTATCATGCCATACTGTTGACATAACATGACAGAGTTCAAGCCAGAGAATAAATCCCAGTTACTTTTTTTTTACTTCACAAATGCTCTGGTTTTTAGTCAGGCTGATCCAGCAACAATTACCATAATTGATTTCCTTCACATTGAATCTTCTTCAATAGACATGATGGAATTGCTGTCCAACAATTTATAGAAAGCTAGTTCCTAATCACTTATGCTTGAAAGAATTATACCACTTAGGGCGTAGCTGTTTAATGCTCTGCCTCACCTCCATTATTAACTTTTCCAGCTGTTAAGTGCTGTAGGAGAAGCCATTTTGAGGACATCCCTGTTCACAGAGATTTATTTATTGAACAAAGAAATCTTGGCCTGCTTCACCATAAATTACTGAACAGTCTTCTTTCAAAGCTAAGGTTGGTCCCCAGTCCTTTGGCTTCTTGGTGACAAAATTAGGGATGGCGCAGATTGTTCAATCAGACCATCTCTGGACTGAACACATGATTTCTCCAGGTACGAACCTAAAAAAAACATATTGTAGGTAGAGGTTTTCAGGGTGGAAAAAACTGGAAAAAGGTAAGTCCTTGGCAATGGTGCTAAACAGCAGTAGCTAAGAGGAGGTAAGTACAAGATAAGTGCAAAGAATGTGTTGAAGGAGTACGCAGGCTTACTGGGTATATGCCACACTTGAATTCAAGCATGGTGATAGCTAAGTGGAGGTAAGCCATAGGGAGGCATTGAGCAGATCACAGTCTCACAAGCCATGCAGTGGAAGGCCAAGTCATGTCCTCCTTATCCTGGATGATTTCTCCAGCTTTTGTTTCGGCCCAAACCAGGAATAACCAAGATGTTCTGGATATTAGTTTGGCTGGACCACACCTCGTGTCCATGCAGTCACCAGGAGTTAAGATTGACTCAAAGGCACCCCAAAAAAGAAAAAAAGTACTGCATGCCTAAAAATTCTTTGCTTCCCATCATTTCTCAGGGTTCCCTAAAAGTATGATAAGTAATTAATAGGCAAGATATCAGAAAAATAAGTAAGGCCTTCTTAAATAATGTGATGTATAACTTTGAAGGTTGCTAAATAAACATAAACTCTAAAAATATGAAATTTCTTTCACTTTTATTTCAGTTGACATCTCAACATCCCTATGCTGAAGTCTACATTGGGAAGCCTCATGTTTGGACAGTAAATATCAATGATCTTTCTGAAGTGGAACAAGCGGTGAAAGCAATTTTGAGACAAAAGGTTAATAAAGATAGTTGTCTTTTTAATCAGTGGTTTAAAATGAAATAAAACATGGTAGGCTGTATTATAAGGGTTTGTTATGAAGAAGAAAGCTTTATCAAACAAAGATAAACATTCTAGAAAATTTGTACTTTAATGTTAAAATCCCAAAGAAAGGTTGGAAGTTGCAGTAGCATTAAGCATTTCTTAATGAATAAAAATACCTTAAATATATTAGTAGCAAGTATTACAGAAATTGGATGTGATAATTTAAAAATATTATGAATTACAGATAGTCCTCGCTTACTGACCACTCATTCAGCAACTATTTGAAGTTATGATGGTGCTGAAAAAATAACTTTACAGTCTATTTACAACCTTTTATGACCTTTGCCGGTCTCAATTGGGGTTGTTAAGCAAGGACTACCTGCGTATTGCATTAAATTCTGTAGAATTAGAGCAAGTATTAAGTATTTTTCTATTATTTGGAGGAGAAGTTACATTTAAGGAATATGAGGGGTGGATTTTTTTTTTAATACTTAAAATGATAATTTTAGGGGGGAGAAATACTCATCTAATAGCACTAAAGCATCACATTAGTATGTAACTTCATATATCTCTGCATAGATATTTCTATCATTGTGTGCATTTATTTAAGGGAAATAGTACTGCATTATGTACTGAAACAAGTTGCTGCAGTATCGAAGATTAGATACTTAAAATATGAGAATTAGAAAAACCATAAAATTGTAAAAGATTCTTACGAAAATACTGGATGGCAAATACTATTGCTGTAAAATTTGCTGAGTATCCTTGCTTTGTATGTTCTCAGTGGCTATGTGAAAAAAGTGAATTATACGTATCAGCGATAGGCTTCTCAAGCAGGTGCTCTTCAGATGTATTGGGACTACAGCTGACATATTCCCAGCCACATGACTGACAGTACTAGAAAGTGTAATCCCAAGACATCTGGAACTTACTGGTACAATCCAATATTAAACAAGTGAACTTTAGCTTTCACAGTGGGAATGCCCCTTGTTGTCTTTCCCCTCTTCCAAAAAGATCCCCAGTAATCTGTAGTAAATGTAAGGCTGTATGTGAGTAAGGAAGAATTCTTTCTGTTGGCAAATGCCATTCCACTTGGTGACAACTCTAAGCTTACAGATGGATTTAACTGAGTACTTGTTCAGATATTTAGCAGACTGATGTTCTCTGAAAAGTGTGTTCTCCATTGCACAATTAAAATGTATTCATATTACTTATATAACAGATTGAACCTTACTTGCCTTTTGAATTCACATGTGAAGGAATGCTTCAGAGAATGAATGTGTTCATTGAGAAACAGGTATGGTTTCTATATCAATAATCATTTCCTTTGTTTGTAAGTATGCAACAATTTCACTTTTGGAAGGAAATTATACTTCATAATTTATTTTTAATTTAGATATTACTCAAAACCAGATACCCATTAGTCTTTTCCTGTCTTCACTGTGCAGTTGGTATACTGATCCTTTCTCTTCCTTTTATTTTGAACATACCTGAAGATGTGTTTTTTCATTATTTGAAATCCTTTGATAACTTAGCTTTCTTGACATTCTCTCTACAGCTTTGGGTTACAATTCTGTATTTTTCTTCAGGGAGCTGCCCTCTTTCTAGTTCCTATATTTTTTTGTTTTCAAATCTTTACTAAACTTTGCTAAGCTTTTTCTGTAGCCATGTTGGCTCCATTTTCCCCCCTTCATTGGAATTATTTCCATTTCATATGATATTAAATGCTTTAAAAAAAAAATTGGATGCCTTTGAGTCAGTGTTGACTCCTGATGACTGCTTAGACAAGTCCCTACAGTTTTCTTGGCAAGGTTTTTTGGAAGTGGTTCACCCTTGCCTGCTTCCTGGGTCTGAGAGAGAGTGGCTGGCCCAAGGTCACCCAGATGGCTTTGTGCCGAAGGCAGGACTAGAACTCATAGTCTCCCAATTTCTAGCCATGCTTTAACTCTATATTAAATTCTTTGTAGTTATAAAAGATACCCAACTCTCATTAGTGGGTTTCTTCCACTCTTTCAGTTAAGAAAATTCCATTCTCAGACTTATGCATTATTTTATTGTCATTTTTATATTGTGATGTTAGCTGCCCAGAGTAATTTGGCAAGTGGATGACCATATAAATTGAGTAAATAAATAAATTTGCAAAATTTTAAGTTACAAATGAATAGCTTCACTATTTTTCCATTTTGATGCCTTTGCTGCTATTAGTAAATTATGTAATGATAGACATTTCTAGAGTATTTTTAGAAGAATAATTATATTATCATTAATTATCTACCTAATTTGCCTCCCAGAGTAGTAGACTGAAAAGATCATCATACGTGACAAAAACCAGTTTTTTTTCACATTTACATTTCCAGGATTGTCTAATCTATTCTGCTTTATATTCTTTAAATCTACTTAAGTGAAATCCCATTTAAATTGTGATTTTTATCTAATATTTAGGCATGGTAACTTGCCTTGGTTCTTTAGAAAAATCAGTAACAGGTATTGATGTATTCTTTTCACCAAAGGATTTTGTTTTTAATGTTAAGCTTCCTTTGCTTTATTTCTTTGTAAGGTAAGATTAATTTCAACAAAACCATTACTAGATTCCTTCCATTACTGAGTAGCCTTTTATTCAAGCAGCACTTCTCCGATGGCTAAATGGGAACACAATTTTTGCTGATTTCTTCTTCTTCCTGATGTTCCCTATCCCTTCCCTCTAAAGTCTACTCTGAACAGTTGGAGAGAGTAGAAGAGTGGAAGTAGTGTCCCTTGATGCTAAGAGAGGAATTCATGGAAATTTATTCCATGCGCTTACCACCCCAGACCATTTAAGCAGATCTCTGTTTGAGGTCCTATCCACCAATAGAATAATATGCTTTCAAAGCTACTTTTTCCTTAAGAAAATACATATTGATTTTTGACATCTTGTTGAATCTCTCTTTCAGTTTTCTCTATTACACGTTGCTGAATAATTGGAAATATTGAAACCAATTTATACGCATTATTTCCTAATTAAGATCCAACCTTGACACTCTAGTTAAACTGTTTCTCATTTGGTGATATTCTTTAGCTTCAAAAGTTATACCGTTTACATTTATCATTAAACATTTGTACTACAGACAAAGTACTAAAATTTCTGTGTCCCAAACTTTAAGTAGGATACTAGATTTCTTTCCTTTTTTTTTTTTTTTTTTTTTAAAATAATGCATATGTTTTCTCAGGTAATACCAAGAGACAAAACAAAATGGGCACTGTAAAACAACTCATTGCTCAACACAATACCATGTGGAACAACTGGTATCACACCAATTCTTATTATTTTAGTTGTACTACATACAATTATTATCATCCAGCCCAGTTAGAAGGTACATCTGCTAGTGATTCAACTCTCTCTCTCTCTCTCTCTCTCTCTCTCTCTCTCTCTCTCTCTCTCTCTCTCTCTCTCTGCATTTTCCATATGTAGAAAGTATTGTTTGTTGTTGTAAGCAGTCATTCTGCAGAATTCAGCAATACCTTGTTTAGCACAGGAAACCAGCTTATGGTGATGGCAAACAGTGTAGTATCCTGGGGGAAGCATAGAGAAACGAAAGGCATGCTTGTAGCTGGTGCTACAGAAGTCCAGTTGCATTCCCCCCTCCCAAACAAAAAAATCAGTATTTCCAGCAGGAATTGGAGCCAGCAGAGTAATTTATCCCAATCTTGAGATAGGTGCTGGTGAGATCTAGCCTGCCCACTGTGCAAGACAGGTTTAATCCTAGAAGGAAGAAGCGGGATTGGGACCAAATCTTCTGGCAATTGAAGAAAAGTATGTAAAGGAGGGCATTTAGTAGGCTTTGATATTCCTAAGATCCTTAGGAACTGTGATAAGCAAGTCTGCTTCTTTTCATCAAGGAAATATTTGGGCAATTAGAGTAATAATGAAGGTTGTGCCCAGTGTTGCAGATATTTGCTATATGTCATTGTTGCATGATTCAGGGCAGCAATAATAAATCCATTTATTTGGAGTGAATGAGAAGTGTATAGGGTTAGGAATGACCAATGAAGCATTCATTGCAAATTGTCAATTAAGTAGTGTGTACCAGAGAGGAAAAAGTGAGTATACTTCAGTGGGATGAGTTGTCACTTCAACTTTCCCAGCCTAGAGAACTAACTGGGGGTTAGACCTTTTTAAGAGAAGCTTGGGCTTTGTATTTTGCGTTTTCTTCGCATCCTGTTGGAAAATGTGGTGTATCAAAAGGATTGAGGTAAGTATTATCGAGGGATGGAGATTTCAACCTTCTTTTAAAATTACAGTAATGTGATACACTGTATTAGACTTCACTGTTACTCTGTAAAATGAATACCACCAAAATGTATCATTTCTAAAAATGATAATCTATACATATTGGTTGAGAGATTTTGCTGATACTGTACAATACCTGGGCTGAGGGATTCCCTGCTGGTAAACACTGCAATCTTTCCAGGTTTTTATAGGAGCATAATAATTTTAGCTTAGGAAGTCATGGAAATACCCTATGTTGTTTCAGGATTTCTGTCATGGGCAAGTGATGTGGCCTCCGTTAAGTGCTCTTCAAGTTAAAATTGCTGAAACTGGAAAATCGTGTAAACAGGTTTGTCAAGAAAATCAGCTCATCTGTGAGCCATCTTTTTTCCAGCACTTGAATAAGGACAAAGACCTCTTGAAGTAAGTTTAGAATGCAAGAAAATACTGAAATGTTCTTTTAATCTGAATTGGATAAGCAAGAACTATTGAAAGGCAACTTCTGCTCAGTACAGATATTACAAAACAAGTTAGGCATATCATACAAGTAGGGGCAACAAGATTTCCCTTGAGCCCTTGCACTTGTGACATAGGTTCAGAATCACATGCTGTTACTATCTGAAATGATGCAGAAGCCACCCTGCCTTCAGTTGTAGACATGAGTATCTCCCTATTGTAGCCCTTTGCATTGTGCATCACGGCTGTAACAAACTGGGGTCTCCCACAGTGTCAGTCCTCTTGGGACATTAACATTATAGGTTAGTGAATAGACCTGTATATTCCAGAAATGAAGCAATAGGTAATAACTAACAAATGCAATTTACTAAATATTTTTGAAGCAAATAGCATACATTGCAGTGAACACATTGCAGTGTTTGATGACTACAATTAGTAGTTTACAGGTTAAGAAAAAGATATGATCGCTGGGGAAATATAGTACATTCAGCTCAATGGAAGGATGCTAAATAGAAAGCTGGAATGAGGATTCTTACTAAGCAAATGAAGGCAAGAAGTTTAAAGATGTCAGTAGTCTACAGGTTAACACAGATATAAGACAACACTGGTCAATGCCCTGACAAACTATAGGGCAAATAGGAAGATAAGTAGATAAAGCAAGATTAAGAGAAGAAAGAGGGGAGGAGTTGCAGGAATTGAATCTTAGAAAAAGACATTTAGAGAAGTTTCTTAGCTTCTGGATCAGTTAGGAAAGGAAAAAAGCAATCAAGTTACCCATCCTTGCTGGCTTGTGTTTGATGGAAGCTGGCTTAGCTTCTTTTGGGTAAAGAAAAAAGGCTAGAGAGAGAAAAAGATGAGAGGTCAGTAGATCATGTGAGTAGAAGTATTGCTTTTTCTCTGAGGACTTGGAGGTTGAGGGCCTTTTCTTTCCTTGCAGAATTTAGCAAATAAAATAATTTCAAGGATTCAGTTATTAATAATTGGTCAAAAGAAAGAAGAAAACCATTTGATTCTCCTACTTGGCCAAGCAGATTCTTTACCATCATGATTGGTGATACACAGGACCTTATCAGCGATTATCCTAAATGGAGAACTTTCCCAATGTGCTTACCTTTGGCAACTTGCAGCAAGACATGATTCATTTTCAGTACTGGAATTATCAGTTGTTCACTGTAATTTATAGATATGATTATATAGTAGTGCATAAGGGATGCTTCTATGTGCATTGAAAGTACCTTTCACTACTCAGAGTTGGAGATGTTGAGAATGTAACTGCAATTGGGGAAAAAGCAAAGAAGCTGGCCTCCTTCTATCAGTCATTTCAGACTGATTTCATTGTGCAGGTGTGAGTGCCATGTTGGATGGCAACTCCTATCAGTATACCGGCCATGCTGCGTGAGGCCAATGGGATGTGTAGGAAGCCTTTTATTGTCCACTCCTGCATGCATGGTGCGGTGCTCTTCAGGCTGCCTTAAAGTCCCAGGGGAACAATTAACAGAACTTTTTTTTAAAAAAACAATACCTTCAATATAATGTGATATGAAAGCATTTTTCCCATTAAATTTGACAC